GCTGCACCCCTGAGCAGGGACAAGACTGCAGGGAGCACTGTGTGAAGGAGGGCTGGGCCTCACTCTGATCAAGGGTCACCACTTCTGTCACCCAAGAAGGGGCAGGGCATGTGTGGCTTTGGCCAAGTCGCCAACCCTGAGGAACCTCCATGTTCCCTGTCAAGAGAGTCTACCCTGCAACAGAAGACACAGGAGGTCTTTGGATGGGGTTCAACTACCCAGCCCTTGGCAGCGCTCAGAGTGAGCCCTGCTCACTACAGGAGTGGGGGCTGCCAGGCACCTCAGGCCTGGGGCTCCCTTAGGCCACAGGGGAACCATGCCAGGGCTGCCCTCTGGTGAGCCTCGCTATGTCCTGGGACTGCTGTGAAAAATTACATCCAGGTGGCTTCGAACTGCATCCACTACCCTAGAGTTTCAGGGCTGTAAGTCCCTAAGCTAGATGATGGGGTGCACGCTCCCCAGGGCTGGAACTACTGTGGGGCCCTCTGCGTCTTGTCTCGGCGGGGCTGTGTCTCTGCCCTGGCTCTGTCCCTTTTGCTCTCTCCTCCCTCAGGAGCTTGTCAGCCCATGGCCAGTCTAGGGCACTGTCAGCAGATGTCCTTTGCCCCCTCTGCCACACCCAGGGCCTTCTGGGAGGCTTTCAGGGGTCAGTCCCAGGCAACCCTCCGGGGGAAACCGCACACCCGTCCCAGTGCCCTAAAGGCTCAGCCACGAGGGCGGTGGCTCTGAGGCCCAAACCTCCAAGGCCATCAGCTCTAAAAGCCCCTATTCTAGCCAGGCCTCCCATCGCTACCAAGGGCCAACAGTGCCCTATGGAGCCCTCCTTGGCCTGGCGCCCTGCCAGCTCTGCGACCATGCCAGCTTTGTCTTCTTCAGTCTGTTCATGACCTGGCCCTCCTACAAGAGCGTCCAGGTCAGCACAAGGCCGTACCCCAAGTACATGGCTCCTTTCCAGGAGAGGCCCAGTAACAGCCCTGAGCTCAACAACCAGCACCACCGGCACCAGCACCAGCATCGCCACCGCCACCGCCACCACCACCACCACCACCACCACCACCACCACCACCACCACCACCACTGTCTCTATAGTGTTGGCCTGGGTCCTGACAAAACAGGGTGAGTGGCACCCAGCCAATGGGTCCCTGCCCAGAGAAGATGTGTCGGCCACCCCAGAGTTCTCTGAGACTTAGGGGCCCCATCCAGTGAGTCCACACCCCAAGGCTCCTGCCATCTGCGGGGTTGTCTGTGGACTTGGACTGGTGGTGTGCACCTAAAATCCCAGCTCTTGGGAGGCTGTAAACAGATGGATCACTCCAAGTCTGATGTAGTAGTGGGATCCTGAACACCCTGTAGACCCTTCCCTAAAATAAAATTTAAAAAGCAGTCAAGCCCACCAACTGTTAATTTTTTTTTTAATTTGGGGAGAGGGGCAGAACCAGGGATTGAACTCAGGCCCTTGTGCTTGCCAGGAAAGCGCTTATTCTACTTTGCTATCTCCCTAGCCTAGAGTCAATATTTTTAAAGTCGTAAAAAGATGACCCCATAAGGATATGAACTTAAAAAAAGGATATGAATTGACTATAGTAGTCTGGGAGCTTACTCCAAAATAATGTATGGAAAGTAAGGAAATCAATTGTGGTTATAAAATATTTAGAAGTGAGGAAAGTTGTATTAACACTAGTGGAGTGCACTTCTTACAGCGAGTGTTCAAGTAGTTGTTTAGACCTGAATTCATTAACTGAGAGCCAAGCAAGACCAAAGTGCTGGAAAAGGCTTAATGCTGCACAAATGATTTTTTTCCTTTTCTGTCTTTTTCCTGTTTTTTTTTTTTTTTTTTTTTTTTGGTGGAACTGGGGATTGAACTCAGACTCTTGCGCTTGCCAGGCAAGTGCTTATTCCACTGAGCCATCTCCCCGGCCCCCTAAAAGACAGAAGGATTTTTTCCTGTTTTTGTGATGGCGAAGATTGCACCCAGAGCCCTGTGTGCTAGGCAGATCCTCTGCCACTGAGCTATACCCCAAGCCCTTTTTATTTCTGAGACAGGTGCTCTCTAAATGGTTCAAGCTAGCCTCAAACTCCTGCCCTAGCCTTCCGAGTAAGTGCTGGGATCAGAGGTGTGAACCACCAAACCTGGCTTTTAAATTTTATCTAGGTAAGTCAGTCAGTTGCTGGGGCGGGGCTTGAATATGTCATCCTGCCTCAGCCTGAGTGCTGGGGTTACAATTGTGCAATTCCTTTCTTTCTTTTTTAATATTTTTTTAAATATTTATTTATTTTTATTTATTACATTTATTTAGTGTGTGTGTGTGTGTGTGTGTGTGTGTGTGTGTGTGTGTGGCCAGCTCAGCCCACCAGGGGGCGGGGCTGGCTGGCATGTGGTGCCGGGGGATCGAACCGAGGTCCCTGTGCTTTGCCAAGCTTGTTTCAAGTAGGTGCTTTAGACCACTGAGCCATCTCTCCAGCCCCAATTCCTTTCTTTTTAATTTTTGTTTTTTTTTTGCGGAACTGGGGATTGAACTCAGGCACTGTGCTTGCCGGGGAAGCGCTTATTCTACTGAGCCACCTCCCTAGCCCCATCTGTGCAATTCTTTATTGTGAATTTTCCCACCAAAGCCTGACTTAGTTTTGCCCCCCTTCCTGTGCACAGCAGGGCTGTCACATGCCCTACCACTTGTATGCAGCACCCATCGTGTACTTTTAGGAAGACACAGAAGTCATTCTTAGCTATTTATCAGATCTATCGGTCTATCTTGTGAGCCTGTGGGTGCATTGTCCTTGTACACATCTCCTTCCCTGGGTTCATTTCTCCTCACTGTAGGTGTCCTTTAGGAGTCTGGGCAGGAGGCATGTGGTTAGTGGACCTCCTCTAGTTTTTATATGTGTGAAAATACTTGCACTCCCTTGTCTTCCACTAGTTGGTAGAGTAAGGCCCAGATTTAGGAATGAGCTGTTCCTGGGGAGCATCCATGAGTCCGATTCATTTTAAGCCAAACAAAGTGAATGTTATGCCCCTTTGACACAGATATACAATGTATATTGTATAAAACATAAACTAGCCAAACACAAATACAGCAGTATGCATGAGCTGCCCTTGCGACTTGTGGCATCCAGGAATGTCTATAATGCGAGATCTGTTAGTACCTGTGGAAGTTCCCGACTTGAATGTACAGTAGGTTGGTACTCACTGTGTGCAACTCTAGGTTAAGGACTGTTTCCTTGAGTCTTAGGAAACATGCCTACTAGAGCAGGACATTTGTACTCTGGGGCCCAACTGACTTAGCTGGGGAAGGTGCCAGCCTGGCCCATCTGCCCACCTGGCCCCTCCTCTTATGGGCATACAGGGCTCTGTTCCAGGCCCCAGGACAGAGAACTGGACAAGTGACAGGACGGGCGGTGGGGGACTGGGATTGAGTCAGGGACACCTGCTGCCCTCATCATGTGTACTGTGGATAGCACAGGGCTTTTGGGATGGTGGCCAACTATCTTCCTGGACCTTTCTGGCCACACCTGGCCTTTGTTGTGGTATCTGAGGTACCTCAGGTGTCTGTCAGCTCTCCAGCCCTCCTTGCTCTGTCCCCCTTGTCAGGCCTGATTCTAGCCTTTGATGTTATTGCAGCAGGGGCGTGGAAACCAAGTCACAGCCCTGTCCCCTAGCTGTGGAGGCCATTTCCTGAGTGGCAAGGTGGGCCGCAGTGCCTGCGGGAAGCAGGCGGTGCACCCTAGCCAGGATGGCTCTGGCACTCTCTTGTCCTGCATGGCCACTGTGCTGTCCCGACTGGGCCTACCATCACCTGAAGGCCACTCTGAGCCTTTGTCCCTCTCTGCAGCACGTGGTGTTCTTCACCAGGCATGTGCTCCACCTGATACCTGACATCCAAGTCCATGGCCGCTGCGGTGAAGCAAGAGTACTACCTGGCCAGACAGACACTGGCAGAGAGAGAGGTGTGCCCTCATCACAAGACCCCCTACTTTGGAATGCTGTCTGCAGTGGGCTGACCTCACTCCTCTGCGGACAGGCCCTCCTTGGGGCAGACCATGAAGGCAGGCCACCCTCAGGCTTAGAGCCACCAGGGCTTTGAGCCAAGGTTGCAGGGGCCAGGGGCCTCCTGCTGTCTCTTGAGGGTCCAGCAGGCTCACCAGCCTGCCCCAAGGACACCTCTTGCTTCTGCCATGGACTGTGCTGGAATGCACTGTGCCCGCCACCAGCTTCCGCAGTGGAGGCATGATGGAGCGGTCCTCTCTCTGCCCATGCTCTTCTCAGCCGTGGGGCTAGAACCCTGCCACTGCCACACCTCGGCCTCGAGGCTTGCTGAATCGCTTGTGCTCATCTTGAATATGGGATTCTCTGCCAGGGCAAGCCGAGGTCGTTGTGTAGCCACATTCCTGAAGCTGGGCCCCATGTGGCCCCACACTCATGCAAGCCCCAGTGACCTTCTCTGCGCAAAGCATCCCCACTTGGTACTATGCCAGGAACAGAGATATGGAATGCCTCTCCCACTGGCTGCAGGGCCTCCTCTGTGGTGCTGCCGGGTTCTTCTGGTTGCTGAGTCCTTAAGGGGACATGGGTCTGGGTGCCTGGGCACCTCCGGTTCAGACTGGGGTCCTCTGGCAGGTCTGCCCTCTGCACAATGCCACCTGCTCTTCCACAGGACCCCTCACAACACAGAGAGACCAGAGTGCGCTTTCCTGCAAACCTCTGCTCCTGCCCCCGGAGCGGGGATGTGTCCCAACCTAGGTGCTGATACAAGCCCTGGCTGAAGCCAACGGCCACCTTCCAAGTACAGTGGTCTGCCCTAGACAGTGGCAGCTGCAGAGCAGTGGCAGGCTGGGGAGCAGGAATGTGCAGGGTGCCTGGGCTTGGGCCCCACAGCTCGGTCTGCCTGGCTCTGGAGCACACAGAGGCAGCTCTGAGAACTGCGGGTAGAACTGGCAGTCATGGATACCTAAGGCCACAGGAAACAGAATGCACATACAATAAACAAGTCCCAGCACAGCACATTAGCTTTCTGGCTTTATTTTAGAATTTATAAAATTCCAGTGTCATCCATATTCATGAGCCTTTACACATGTTTGCATAATAATCTCCAAATTCCAAAGTTAAGGCCAACGGATGGATGTAGCTATGGAAACACAGGATATGGAAGACATTCAACAAGAGACAAAAAGAGACACTCCCGGGTCCCTGCCCAGGGCCCTCGACAACTGGGAGGCCGCAGGGAGACACCTGGCAGTCATTTCATTGTATTGACAACCACAAAAAGGAGCAAGGAGACCCTGAACAGCTCAGGGCAGGGCTTGAATCCACAGCACTTAGTAATAGGTAGAGATGTGCAAAATCCAGTTGTGAGGATTTAAAATGGACCTACAGGGGAGAGGCAGGGGCTGGAGGTTTGGGAGGGCACCAGAAGACCTATGAAGAGAGGAGGGTGGGATGTGCGCCAGAGGGGCTGGGTGGGAGCAGGGACACACAACTGTCCAACAGGAGCAAGTCCCGACTCCTGCGGATGGAAGGGGTGACAAAAGTTAAGAAGCAGTGCTGGGGAGACCAGCAGCCCTTTGCCGTCTCTCCCCACCCCACCAGCCCAGCAGAATCAGAGCCGTGGCCTATGGCAGAGGCAGGTGTTTATCATTCCTGCAGGTGGGCACATGTGGGGATGTGAGATCCATAGGAACCGGGCCCACTTGGGAGCTCTGTGGTCTAAAAGCAGCCAGGCCTGAGTCACCAAGCTGAGTGAGACCTGGAGTACCCTCGAGGAAGCAATGGTGCCCCAGCGAGGCGGCTGGGCGATGGGTCCAGCCTTGTCTTTCTACAAGCCCAAGGACCTGGACTCAAGACAGCCCAAAGGCAGGCGGCTCAGTCCCCACGTGTGGCAGACACCTCTGCTCAGGACCACCTTTCCTTGTGAGGGCACTACCTGCTGCACACCTGAGGAAGGCGGGCTCCTCAGCAGGTGGGGCTCCTGGCTGCAGGGCCTTTGGTCCTCATCTGACTTCACTCCTTGGCCCAGGCTAAGCCACATCCAGGCCCAGGACTGAAATCTGCCCTTCCCAGCTGCTGAGCCCCTGCTCTAGACCAGCCCTAGTCCCTGGCCTGAGGACGAGCACTGGCCTTGAGCTTGGCAGCCCCCAGCCCTGTGGGCCCTGGAGACACAACCCACATGGGGGGGCAGCACTGGGCCCTGTGAGACCACCACACCAGCTGAGGTAGAAAGAAGGCAACTGGACAAGAGGAGGGCAGGCCTGGGCTGAGCGTGGTCTGAAAACCAAGTTGCCATCCTCACTGAGATAAAGCATCCATCTCCCTTGTCCCCATGTCCTGTGAGCCTCTGGCCACACTAGGCCATAGTGACAGCCACAGGGGGCCCAGGCAGCACCCACACAGGAAACCTTGCCTCCAGGAACTGTGCTCTAGGCCGAGAGGCTGAGGCCACAGTAGAGACCCTCAAATAAGCACAAGCAGGACTGTCTAAGGCCCTAGGTGACCAGCTGCTCCTAAGCTGGCCGTTCCTCCCGCCCCACAGCCCGCACTGGGCAGACCTGGCAGCTGAAGGTCTGGACGACAGGCAGGGGCAGGAGTGAATGGGAAAGGAAGAGGGCAAACATTTTGGCTTTTATAAAGTCAAGGAAATTTATTTCCTGAGGTCATGACAGGAAGTCGACTCCTAGCCGCTGCTGCGGAGCTCTGGTAATGAAGGTCAGAGTGCTGACCACATGCGGGTGCACAGGAAGCTGGAGTCTGTGTGCTCATGAGGTGCTCAATTACCTTGGCTTAGTGTTTCAGACAGTGGCGCACCTGTCCTGGAGCAGTGTCGGGGCAGATGCCGAGCTGCTGGGTGCCGACTGGGCCTGGAGCAGCGGCCGCATGGGGCCGGCCCGTCAGGCGTCACTGCAAGACCTCAGGGAAGGGAAGCGCATCAACAAGTCATGAGGGTCCAGCCGCTGGGTCAGGTGGAGACAAACCACTGTGTGGGTAGGTGCAGGTCAGCAGGCTGGAAAGGTTTCTGCTTTTTGATCATTATCGCTTGGGACCCCAGGGGAGGGTCTTAGGGGCCACCTGCGCCCCAAAGCTGGGAAATTCCTCAGAGCTGCTCATGTCAGGAGCCTGTGGAGAGGGAGGACACAAGCTCAGTAAGGGGCTTTCCTGTCTGCACTAAAGCAGCTTCCAAAGCTGCTGCCACCACAGGATGCTGGTCCCCCCAGCCCGTGGCCCAGGGCAGAGGCAGCAGCTCGCCACCTCCCACGTGTGCTGACCTTCTCACTGCTGCTGGCCCAGGGAGCATCCCGCACCACAAAGCCCTTGGATGGGGCCTTGGCCTCTTCATGTGCCGGGGGTTTCATGTAAACCTGTAGCGCCTCGCTGTCTACCACGTCAGCCAGCTGTGGACAGGGGTGGCATGTCTGTGGGTTCAAGGTGGCTGGCCCTTTGTGTGGCATTCCCTGGGAGGTACAGAGGGCACCCACCACCTGTTTGCCCCTCCACCACCTGTTACCACAGGCTCGGGTCCCAGGGGCCTAGTCATCGAGGACTCACGTATTCTTCTTCGAGGTTAAGGATGTGGTCGATGGCCTCCTCCACATTCTCTGGGAGCCCCGTCACAGTGACACAGTTGGGGTCTGGAGCTCCACTCTGGGGGAAGCGGATGTCCACCTGGAAGCAGGACAGTGTCACCAGATGCTTGGGGAGGGTGGGGGTTCTCTCCCTGCTAGCTCATGGGGCTTACCTTGAACTCATCCATGATTTTTCGGATGGCTTTGCCACGGGCACCAATGATGCGGGCATGGACACGGTGGTCCAGGGGGACGTCCTCAGACACCATCTGCTCAAGCTCCCCCACAATCTTCATAATGGCATCCCGGGCAGCTTCTGTGTTCTTCTCATAGCCGGTGATGGTGATTTGGTCCTGGGGCTAAAAGTGGGGAGGGCAATCAGACACAGCGCTTGGGCACTGTGTGGTTTCTCCGCTCCGAGAAACCCACAGCATAAACAATGAGCAGGAGAGAGAAAAAAAAAGGAAACAGGGAGATTGATCTTTTTCAAAAGGGAAGGTGACCACGAAGTGGAGGGGAGGGGATGGAGATGTAAAAAAGAATCAAGATGTGCTCTGTACACTGCCACAGAGAGATGTCATTGTTACCAAGTACTGCACACATGTACTGAGAAAATGTAAGAGTTGTCATTTATTTGGTACAGGGTCTCACTACACAGCTTGGACTTGTAGTGATTCTCCTATCTTAGCCTTCTCAGTGCTGGGATTACAGGTGTGTGCTGCTGGTTTGGTGGCCCACGCAGGGCACCTATGGTTCCAGGGCTGGCACAGCACACAGTATCAGGATTGAACCCAGGTCCTTGTGCTTGCTAGGTAGGCTTAGACTGTCAAGCAATCTCCCCAGCACCAAAAATGTTACGTTGTTACAAGATGAAACCAAACCAGACCAGACTAGACCAGACCACACCAAGGAGCAGGAGCATGGTACACAGCATTCCCAACAGGAATTCCACGTGGATTCCCAACCTACATGTGCTGACACAGCAGGGGTGGTGCTGGGCATGGCCCAAAGCAGGCCTCACCTGAAGGAAACACTCTCCAGGTGGATGGCACCCATTCAACGCCTGCTCCTTCCTTAGTCCCACCCACAAGAAAGTCAAACACAGTACTAGCAAGGATACTTCATTGAGAGAGAAAGAGAACAACAGGGGGACTCCAGTGAGAAGAAGCAAAGCCCCATCCTGCGGCTCACTCCTCTGCTTACCAAGAGGATTCTCTACTCTATCACCAGAGAGTTCTTACTGCACCTGACTCCGAGGAGAGTAAAGACAGTTTGTGCATGAACAGCCATGACCCTTTCTCCTTAGGACACAGGGGAAACAGCAGGTTCACATGAAAAATATGCCATGCAGACCAAGGCCAGAGAACAAGAACTCAACACCCTGAGACACAGTTAAAAGGCAGGAGTAGCAGCTCCATAAAGGGAAGAACTCACAGCATAGGGCTGTGTGTGAACAAGGATATGCATGCTGTACCCTTAATATTAGCTAAAACTGTCTAGCTGCAAAGGTAAAACAACATGGCAAGGAGGGAAAGAAGGAGCAGTGAAGGGGACAAGCTTACAAGAGCCACATTCCTTATGAAGATTAAAGTTAGAAACTAGCAGCCTAAACGCATCCACTAGAAGTGCAAGGGTCGGGGCCTGGCCCTAGCTCAGGCCTTTAAGTGGCTGCTTCCACAAAGCTGTAAGCCTCAGGTGGCTGGAGTTCGAACCTCACAACTCTCCTGCTGGCCAAATGTGCCCTGAAGGCATTCGAGGAACAACAACAACAAAAAAAGTGCAAGGGTGAAGGCAAGCAAAGGCATCAAGAAGAGTGGATGCACGAGGGAGCAGCCAGGGAGGGCGGGCAGTCTGAGGGAACCCAGTCCCTGGAACCCAGTGTGCAACTGGCTGTGGAGATGAAGGAGGATGGAGATCTGCACACGAGCTCCAGGGCTAGGAGGGCGGGCCATGTCCCGTGGCCATAGTGCCCAGTGAGCTGCAAGGCTCCCCCGGCAAGTGAGGCAGAGCTGCCCATGCCCCAGCAGCAGCGCCCCCACTTAAGTCAAGGCAGCCCCACCGACCCACGTGTATGAGAGCAAGCCAGAGACGGATGGGGCAGTAGGGGCTGCAAGGACCCAGCTCCTGCTGTCTCCTGCCATCTGCCTTCGAAGCCTTGACAACTAGGGAACAGCCTGCACCTGAAGGCATGGTGGCTCAAGAAGGACCCAGCGAGAACACTGTCAACCAATGAGGGACCAAGTGGGCACTGAGGAGATTGTCCAGGATCCCAGAGGACACATAGTGTCCCGGAAGCCTCACCCAGCTGGCAAGAGCAAAGATAGCTCAGACCTGAAGCCAAAGTTAGATTCGCAGAGATGGGCCACTCGCTTTCAACTTGGCCTGCTTTCAGCCAGAACACAAGTTTATCATGCGACTTCACAGGACAGGGAAAGGTCAGAGTCTGGGTGGCCACCCGTACCTGGCCCCCATCATCCTTATCCGGAAACTGGATGTTCACGTCATGCTCCAGTCTGATTTGGGTGATCACTGCCCCTTTCCTCCCAATGATCTTGGGATGGTATTTGGGGTCTACGATGACATTCAGTTTGAAGCTCCTTAGAGCCTGTAAGTGAAACAAAGGAGCATGAGGCCTGACCTGGGAGAGCAGCCCATCTGCAGCTGGGCCAGGTGCCCCCAGGCCCGGCCGTGCGGTCCTCCCTCTGCACTCCGAGTGCTGTCTCTGCCTGGTCCTGGCTCTGGCCCCCCTCAGTCAGTGCTCAGCGTGGGGCTAACAGGCCATGCACACTGCACCGGCTGCTCGGGCCACTGATGCCCACCCATGCGGGCAGGCGCTGCACTCCGCACAGCTAGCAGGAAGCTTCTTGGGCTCCTGGCCCTGGTTCCCCATGTGTGAGTCAGTGATGTGAGGAAATCTGTTGGAAGAACACATTCTGCATCTGCTGGGGTTGGGGTACAGACGAGGCATGGGCAGAGCACCAGGGTGTCCAGGGACGGCTGGCCGGCCGGGCCCAAGGCCCACACAGAGCCTGCTCACACTGGTAGCAGGCGTGTGAGGGCAAGCTAGGGGGAGGCACAGAAAGCTCTCTGCCCTGGGAAGAGCCCAGGACGCTGGCACATTCCCATTAGCTCCTGGGGGGCTCTGCCAGCGGCCGGGCAGGACCTTACCCATATGCCTCAGTCTGCAGCTGAGGGCCCAACCCCTGCCTTACAGCAGGGAAGCAGTTTCTCCCGATGTGGCTGAACTGCAAATGAGCACAACAGCCCAACTCTATCTGTTCATTAAGAGAACGTCTCTGTACTGAGCGCCCCAAGTCAGCAGTGTCTAGGGTGTCCCCACTCACCCGGTCTTCTTGCTCAGCCTGCAGCTCCTTCACACGCTCTAGCAGCCCCACCTTGGCCCTGTCCAGATTTGCAGCAAGGCCCGTGATGGCGATGACATCAGACTGCAGCTCAGGAGCTGGGACATGAATATTCACCTGTGCCACAGACAAAGAGCAGACCTGGTGTCTGAGCCCAGTGTGACACAGCCTGTCTGGTCTTGGACCATAGCATGAGGTGGAGGAGCCAGGAGAGGAGGCCCCCGCAGGAGGTGGCAAAGCCATGCTTTGCAGGCCAAGTCTCAGGGAAAGGAGCTCACCTCAAACTCATCCATCATTTTGCGGATCCCACTCCCCTTCTGCCCAATGATGTAACGGTGGAGATCAAAGGGTACCTCCACTTCAGTGGTGACTGGAACAAGGGCCTGGAGGAAAGATGAGGGCAGATAGGCCCATAAAGTGACAGAGAAAGAGCTCAACTGCTAGGTCACCTAGAACCTGTAAGGGATAGCACAGGACGAGGAGCCCACTCCAGGGACATCTGACCCCCTAAACTAATGGAGGCTAAGACCCTGGGGAGAGGTCTGACTCCTGAGATCATGGGGACCCTAACCCTCACTGTCCCTTTGTCTCCACAGCTTCTCCTCCTCAACCAGGCGCTACTGTGCAGAGTTGGGGTAGCACTTACAGGCCCAAACCTGGGCCAGTGGTGTTGACCCTACAGCACATATGTCAAGTTGTCCCATAGCCGAGCACTGGATAACAGTCGTTTTTCCTGAACTAAAATCTCAGTATTCTAGCCTATAGTGTTGTCACTTGATAATAAATAAGCAGTTTTTGGGCTGTGGTTTGGGTGCCTGGTCTCTGTAAGATTCCCCCCACCACTGACCTATGTGGTACCCCATCAGTGTTTGGCTATACAGGCAGCTGACCATTACAATAACCCTTGACTGAGTGACCCCCACCTCCTGAGAGGGAGAGGTCACCTGCACCTCACTGTCTATGGGTCTGAGACTGGACTCCACTCTGCTGCCTGGAGAAGGGGACTGAGATCCCAAGTCCTGTGAAAGGAAGAACTCTCCCTGGGCCTTACTCATCCAAGCACTTGGCACAGCCAGACACAGCTTGGACTTGGGGGTCCTGTGACAAAATCCACTGTCTGCCACCACTTGGGTGGCATTGAGCTGTGGGACAGATGTGGAAGGGCAGACAAACCTCCAAAGCTTCTTTGGCAGCCTCACACTTCTCCTTTCGGCCAGAGATGGTGATGATGTCACACCTCCTGGGTGAGCCGGGGTCGGCCTCTCTGCTCTCGCTGGCTTCATCTCCATTCTCCTGGATGGTAGGTTCCATGCCATGAACTAGGACAGAAGGAGAGGGCAGCTGACAACAGCCCAAGAGCCTGGCTGTTTTCCAAATCCCTGGTTAAGCACCTGCTACAGGGCTGGGGAGATGGCTCAGTGGAATAAGTGCTTCCCTGGCAAGCGCAAGGGCCTGAGTTCAATCCTTGGTTCTGCCAAAAAAAAAAAGAGCCATGCTTCCTCTTTCCCCCAGGCATAGGTCTCCTCTTCTGGGCTAGAAGTCACAAGCACCTGCTACAGACACTGGTGCGAAGAGGAGTGACTCACTCAGCCCTCAGGAGATCACTGTATGGGCAGGCAGAACAGAAAGCCCACATGGGGCTTCCCAGTATAGAAAACACTGACAGCCTCCCTCTCAGGGAGGAAGGGAGAGGGAGCCCTTCTCTCTTCCTATGGCACTCCCAGCAACCTTGCTGGTTGTAAGGAGCAACAGACGAGCCACAGAAGTGTGCAGCTCCACTGCATGTGGAGACAGACTTCCAGGGGGCAGCTGGCCCTGGCCTGGACCAGGTGAGCCAACAGGCAGTGAGGAGGACCATGAGTGAGAGGCTAGCACAAGCTCCAGCTCCTCGGGCCAGGAGTAACGAAAAGCTCCAGAGGGAAGTCTGGGAGCCACGCCTCACCCTGGAACCATGCATACACCAAACAACCTCTGCCCGTGCATAAAACGGAACCTCACGCCCATGTGGTAGAAGCACAAACAGAAGACTAACGGGCAACAGAGGAATGTACTGCCCAAGAAACACCACCCTGGCAAACAGCAGCGGCTGACTGCTAGCTGGACACTTGGCCTGACTTTGATGAATGTGCTGTAGCTGTGGAAGTGTCCTCATTTTTAGGAGATATGGGTAAAGGTATCTGGTTTTACACTCAGATCAGGTATGGTAGTACATGCCTATAATCCCAGATCTTGGCAGGCTGAGATTTTGAGGCCAGCCTGGCTACACAGTGAGTTCAAGGCCAGACTGAACTATGCAGTGAGAGATCCTGTCTCAAAATAACCAAGCAACCAACCAAAAATCCCAACCCAAACATCCACTCAAATGATTCAGAAGAAAAAAGTTTGTGTGTGAAAGGGGAGGAGTCTAAAAACAACCTGTTGACTCTGAACAGAGGCAAAATGTCTCTTTCCACTATTCTGCATAGTTTTTCTCCAAAGCACGAACCATGCACAAATGGGCAGCATGATTTAACTAGCTTCCTGCACGAAGCACCACCTGTCTTTGCAGGAAGACCGCGCACCTCACTGATGAGCCCTATGGAGCGGGCTCGAACCAGCAAAGAGCAGAGCGCAGAGGCTGCACGGAAGGCCAGCGAGGCTGGCCCAGGAGGAGGTATGCACTCCATTCTTGTTGGGCACCGGCGCCCTACATGCTTGCCCTCCCCCACGGGGGATTTCCAGAGCTACGCTTAACCTCTGCTGGCGCATTCTATTTGGCTAAGAGCAATTACAACCAGGCACTTGCCCATTGGCCGGTTTAAGACACGCAGCCTTATTTGATTGGTCCTGGGGAGTATAAAAGAGGATGTTACGGAAGGTCCGGGGTAGTTCGGCGGAGGAGTTCAGGAAGTAGTTCGGCGAAGTAGTTCGGTTGAGTAGTAGTTCCGGGGAGAAGTTTGGGGGAGAGAAGAATAAAGAGAAGCTTAAGCACCATCTGACTCGCGTGTGATTTCAACGAGCGCCCGACACATTCTCAAGTGCGCAGCTGCTGAGAGGAGGCCTCGGTGCTCACACCTTTAAACACCTGCTCCCTTTGCTCCCAGCCTGGCTGCCCGTCACTGAGCCCACAGCAGAAGCAAGCAGCAAATGGGTCACCTGGCACTGACTGAAAGGCCCTAGGATCGCTGCTGCCCTCTCTTGTGCAGACGCCTGTGCCCCCCCCCCCCCCCCCGTGGGGACATGCCACCAGTACTGCCACACTTGAAATCACATGACATCCCGAGAAGCAGTGGACTGAGCAAGGGCTTTCAGTCGTCATCGCAGGAACTCTGCCACAGCCCACTGTCAGAAACCAAGGATGGCCCCAAACCCCTGGAACCCACAAAAGTGTTCATGTACCACTCCAGTGCCAGGCGAGTGGGGCAGGAGGGCCACTGGGATGTAGATGGAGACCAGCTGGTGGCACTCACCAGGGGTTTCCTCTCTGTCTGGGAACTTGATCTGGACACTGTAATCCCGGGTGATCTGCTGTATTCTGGAACCTTTGGGGCCCATGACAGATCGATGGAATTTCTGGGGAATAGCACACTCCATGGTCACTTGAGCCTCCTGCAGAGAAGACGAAGAAAGGCTGAATTCCTACGGACAGTGCAGCCCTTTCCCTACCTTTCCTTGGTGCATGGCCGTCTGTTTTAGGGAACACAGACCTCCTCTGGAGCAGGTCCCACAGGCAGAAAGCACCATACCATGTTAACCAAGGGCAGGACAGCCATGCTGGCTGAGAGGAACCCCCTTTTTATGGTGGTGGTGATACTGGTGAGGATGGAATCCAGGGACACTCTACCACTGAGCTATATCCCTAGGCCTTTCTGTTTGTTACTTTGGGAGGGTCTTGCTAAGTTGCCCAGACCGGCCTTGAACTTGCAATTCTGCCGTCTCAGCTTCTAAAATAGCTGGGATTTCAGGCATGTGCCACTGCACCTAAAAAGAGGAGCCTTCTGCTGTCAGTCTGGGGCGTGCGGCAGGAGGGGGCATCAGCCTGTGCTTGGTAGTGGTCGCCAGCAACAATCATTGGCCCTAAGCCCCCAACTCACCAGGTCCTCAGTGATCTCCTGGATGCGTTTCTTGGCTGCTTCCACACAGTCCTTGGCGCCTTTGAGGGTGACCTTGTCACTCTGTGTGCCCGAGCGTGGGAAGCTGACCATCACCCCGCCATACTCCTCGGCAATCTCTCTCAGCACCTGGCCCCTTCTGATGACAAAATGGCGGTGGTGCTTGGGGTCTACCAGCATGTAGTCTTCGACTACATTGTCCTGCAGCATTCAGAGAAGAGGACAGGGTGAGCCACCATGCCAAGGATGTCCGACGGAGCCCATGGCCAAAGCCCTGCTCCCTACCAGGTTCTGGATCAGGGCCTCCAGCTCTCGCTGAGCCTCCCGGACAGCGTCCTCCTTTCCTATGATGGTGATCAGGTCCTGGTCCTTGTCCTCTGCGGCTGGGAAGATGATGCGGGCTCCGGTGCTGTCGCGCACCTTGCGGATTTTGCCGCCCCCTTTGCCAATAAGGAATTTGTGGTACTCTGGCTTGGCTCGGATGTCCACAGTGAAACTCTTGGTTTGCTGCAGAAATAACCCTGTGGGTGTCAGCCCTACCCCACCTGCCTGCGCCACATAGTACAGAGTGTGCATCCTAGAGGACACAGTGTGGAGCAAGCCCCCACAGTTCCCAGAGACTCGATGCTACAGAGATTCTAAGGCTCGCCTCCAGCTGATGAATGCTTACCAGACGCACTTGCAGCCATTCTCTACCACGACTAAGCACACAAGCCTGTACTACTGCCGCTCAGTGCGGTGTGAGGTACAGGACAGAAGCAGCTCCCTGCATAGTTTGGAGAGCCATTAGCCCAGGTCACAGTGTGCCAAAGGCTCTCAGGCTGTCACAGCACAACTTCCATTTATGATACCAGGGGATCAGGCCCAGCAAGAGCCAGACACTGTGGCTTTCTGCACAACACCAGTGCCTTTGGCAGACTCATCTGGGACAGTGGTCACTCAGAACACAGGGCCACTTCTTGCCATCCTGTAGACCTGACAGTGGCTCACAGAACTAGGGGAAGGGCAGAGAGAAAGAAATGATTGGCTGGCACACAGAATGGCAAATGACAGAGCTTTTTTCCTGTGGTACTAGGAATAGATTACAGAGCCTGGCATGGAGCTACACTCCCCACTTCCCTTCTTTTGAGACAGGGTCTCACTATGCAGTACAGGCTAGCCTTGAATTTGCAGTGAGTTCCTGCTCAGCCTCCTAACAGTGCTGGAATTACAGGCATGTGCCACCATGCCCAGTGCTCAGCCCTTTTTATTTTTAGACAGAGGCTAACTAAGTCCCTAAATGGCCCAGACTAAGCTTGAACATGCAATCCACCTGCTTGACCCTCCTTGAGGGCTGGAGTTAGAGTCAGACATAACAACACCCTGTAGAAGTTTATTTTCTTTTAAGTGCTGGTTTCACCAAACATCACAAGAATCTACTATAGCAGTACCTTGGCTCAGGTCACAAACTGAACTGGACAAGAACCAAATCAAATTCAATACCTAGGTTAGGTTCAATGGTGAGCTTATGAGGAAATCTGATTTAATTTGGCCCAATCTGGTTTGCAACCAAAAGTGTGGCGAGGTTAAGCCCTGAACCAAGGTACCACTGTTTTTCTTTTTTTTTTGTATTTTAGGGAAGGGTATACAGGGTGTTCAGGGTCTCACTACTAGATCAGACTTATAGTGATCCACTTATTCACAGCCTCCCAAGAGCTGGGATTACAGGCACGCCCCACCATGCCCAGTCTCAACTGCTGTCTCCCAGTCTCAATTGCAGTCTCAGTGCTCCCCACAGTTGGGGCCAGCACAGCAGGCCTGGGGATCGAATTCCCAGCCCCTGTGCCTGCTTGCAGGCGCTTTAATTCGCTGAACTATTTGGCAGCCCTTACCACTGTATTCTTTAGATAGTCACAAACAACAGTATCTAAAGACTAAAGAATCAGAAAATTCAGCCTGGCAATAAAGTACAAGATAACACCAAAACCAAAGGGTCTACCTTAGAAATGCAAGTCATCCATCAATAAGACCTCAAAATGATGACAGTAATAAAACCCATAACCATATGAGAAGATACTAGAAAAGCACTTGACAAAAATCCAACATCCACTCCCCAACAAAGCTCTCACCAACTTGGCACAGAAGGGAGTTTTTCAAAAGAGCGCAGGAAGGCCACCTGCAGGCAACACCTTCTCTGTGCAGAAGGGGAATCTACAAAGGTACAAGGATGAGCTTCTACAGGAGGTCTATATATATAAGTTCAGATGCATTTCCACAGGCTAAGCCCCGCAGTTAGGCTGAAAGCCCACTGACATCATCAGTACAAACAAGAGATGTAAACTGAATTCCCGTGAAGCACCAGGGCAGGTTGAAAGGCCCAAAACACTGGAGACTGCCAAATTGTCACCCTCAGCAGTCCCATTTCCAGATTCCACTAATCCCAACCAAGACCTAAGTGTGAGTGTTTTCTACAAGCTCACAGGCTGATTCCTAAATGCACAAAGGAAAGGAAATAATATGCAACCAAAACAGCCACTTTTAAGAGGAACACAGAGGACTTATACCAGTTGACCTATAGAAGTCCTGCAGGGCATTTGAACCCAACACGTTGCTGAAGCAAAAAAAGCCCAAAGCCAGATCCATACATGGCTTTGGATTTAGGGCTAAAGGTGATGCACCAGAGCAATTCAGAGGTGGTACCACTGTATTTTAATGATATAGTAGAACCATAAGTGTCCGTCAAAACTCAGAACCATATAAAAATAATTTTGAGGTTTGTTTTTTTTGCAGAACTGGGGACTGAACTCAGAGGGCCCTTGCGCTTGCCAGGGAAATGCTTATTCTATTGAGCCATCTCCCCGGCCCCTTAATTTTGAGTTTTATTGTAAATTATACTTTGAAATAATCCTTCCATGAAAAAACCCTTCACAATGCCACGTAACTTTTCCATACTGACTATGTGGACATCTGGATTGAGTGGCAAAGTCCCAGAGCTATAATATAAAGCTGTACCTTACAGCTGCTTCTGGACCTGACAGAAGGACACTTAGGGTTTTCTTTTTTTTTTTTTTGGTGGAACCAGGGATTGAACTCAGGCCCTTGCGCTTGCCAGGGAAGCGCTTATCCCACTGAGCCATCTCCCCGGCCCCCTAGGGTTTTCAACAACAGCAAGATCAAGGCTCACCTTCTCCTCAGCCAGGTGCAGGAGCTGCTTTCTGGCCTTTTCCACATCTGAGGAAGGGCCTCTGATGACAACGGTGTCACTTCCGGAACCTTCCACAGGAAAGTGGATGTGGACCCCACCACACTCCTCCATGATGGAGCGGATCAGACGGCCCTTTGTGCCAATGAGAGAGTTGTGCAGCTTGGCCGGTATTGAGACCTCCACCTCGGCTATGTTGGCCTGAAACCAAACACAAGGAGCAGGAAGGGTCACTGTGGTGCAGCAAGGAAAGGCTGGCAGTGGGGAGTATGGCTGAGGTAGGAGACCACTAACCAAATGGGACTTGGGCTGTGTGCAGGTGTGCTGAGGTGGGAACACCTCAGCAGTGGAGGCACAGTGTGGGAGGAGAGCTATGATTCTAGCCCCTCAGGCAATGGCAGAAGTGAGTCCAACATAGCTATAGGGCAACTCCTTTGGTCAGTGCTTCTAGCCGAGATGAGGCTGCACAGACTGAACTCACCCTTACCTGAATGGGTGCCTTCCAAGACACAGGTGACAGACAAACAGAGATAAAGACCTACAGTCAGGAGGGGAGGGGCACAGCAAGAGCCCAGGACCCAAAGGGGAGCAGCACAGACAGGGAACCTGAGTGGAAGGCAGCGCAGCACTCGAAGCCCGCCCGACACAGCTGACCGTGCCCTGCACGTCACCTCTGACACTGAGCCTTGGCCCAGCAAGGCCTCCTGGCCCAGTGCAGCCTCAGTAGGCAGCTGGGTTGTATGCCTTCCTGGCCAGCCTCTGGTGGGAATTCTCCCTCTGAATCTAACAAATGTGAACTCATGTGCTAAAGGAGCACACTGGTCCAGTGCAAATAAGCTCATTTAAGAACACTTGGAGGGGGCTGACGAGATGGCTCAGTGGTCTAAAGCACCTACTTAGAACAAGCTTAGCAAAGCGCAGGGACTGCGGTTCAATCCCCTAGCACCACATGCCAGCCAGCCCCGCCCCCTAGTGGGCTGAGCTGGCCACACACACACACACACACACACACACACACAAATAAATAAAATTAAAAAAAAAAAAAACTTAAGAGGAATTAAGAAACAACAATGATAAACAAAACGACAACAACAAAAAGATAAAAGTCTTGTAAAAACCATGCAAAACCAACCTAGAAGAGAGAGAAAAAAAGAAACCACATCCCTCTGAAAACCACTGAGGGCATCCCTCACAGAGAAAAGCTGAAACATGGCATACAACAAGTAGCCAGGGATAGTAACTCCGGGAGCCTTTATTAACTCAATCTCTTTAAAGAGCCAGACTTTTCGGGGGGGGCCTGGCGCAGCATGTGCCAGGGATTGAACTGTGGCTGGGCTACCTAAGCTTGTCCAAGCAGGTGCTTGAAGACTGCTGAGCTGTCTCGCTGGCCCCAAGAGCTAGACTTTAAACCAAAGGTCGACGGTGTTTTGTGGGGCCTGTAACACGATGAAGGTAAGACCTAGAGCACTGAGCTAAGTCCAGGAGTGAAGGCACATGGTGATTCTGTGGGACTGAGTTAGGCCTAATGTGTGTGTAAAGATGAGACAGGTCACAGAGATGCTCAGGGGAGAGAGCTCAGTGGTCTAAGCACCTGCCTGGTAATTGCAAGGTCCCAAGTTCAATCCCTGGTACTACATGCTGTGCCAGGGCCAGCCCTGCCCCCTGCGTGCACTGAGCTGGCCACCAAGACCAGGCATGGTGGCACATGCCTGTAATCTCAGTGCTGGGGAGGCTAAGACAGAAGGAACACTACGAGTCCAAGCTATATAGTAAGACCCTGTACCAAGTAGATTAACAAGCAAATAAATAAAAAAGATTTTTAAAAAAATTTTAAAAAGATGCTCAAAACAAACAAACAAAAAAATCAGACAAATGGAAAACAGAGTAAGAGGGCAGATTAAAATCCAACTACATAAAACAGCCCCACCAAGGGACTAGTGCTGGGAGGGGGAAGGAAGTTAATGGGCTCAGAATTTTGTAAAAAATAATGAAAAAGTTCTGGAAATGGAGAGAGATAGTTGCACGACTTCCAATGTATTTAACGCACATTAAATTACACTTAAAAATGTTTAAAATACTAAATTCTGTGGAATGTATAATTCACCAAAAAAAAAAGCAAATGCAATTAACCAAATTTGTTAAATATACATAATAAAAGTAAATAAGTGATATATCAAATACATAATCACAAATATAAATGCATATAACATATTTTACCTCATATTTAGAGATCAATTCAATTAAATAAAAAGTTAAAAAGGAACAAATTAATGTTAGAAAAAAAATCTCAAAACAAATGTTTGAGATAAAAGGTCACTTTATGGTGACACAGACTACACACACCCCGAATGAAGGTGGCAGCACTGTGGACAGTAAGGGTCATATGGGCATCAGCTTTAAGCTCATGGATTTGACCCCTCCAATCAGAGGAAACTGTACAGACACTAACACCCAAGCAGAACAGATGATCCACCCACAGGGAAACGCGTTTCTGCCACGAAGCACACACCACTTGGATGTAGCAGGAAATGTCGAGGACCCACGCAGAGGGCAGAGCACCTAGATGCACATGCCTCGTCCACACCTAGAGGCAGGCTGCATGGAGGTGCCAGAGCAGGGTGGAGCTGCTGCAATGCAGAGGGCTGAGGGCTTTACTGGGGCAGTGGACATGTTCACTGGGATGAATCCTCAGGTAGACACATCAGGATTACCTAATGGCATACTGTATGCCTGTGTAGCTTATTTTATGTTATTTAAAAAAAAAAAAAAAAACTGAAAAAAATATAGTAAGCACTTTCAGATGTGATTTTCAAGTGAAAAAATAAAAGAAAATACCTAACAGAGCAAGTACCCGAGCCTGATGCCATGGCTGCTGGGTCAAGTACACAGTCATCAAGAGAGAAGTCCCCAAAGCTGCCAGCCAATTTGTCAGCACTGCCTGTTCTAGGCACAGTGTTCTCACGAGCTGAGTGGGCCTGGGGGCCCTACGTGCTTGCCCTGGAGGCCCTGCTGAAGTTTCCATCACAGGAAGCAGGAAAGGCTGTCACAGAACACCCCCATTACCAGGTCCTTCTGGATGGACAGAATCCGACTCCGCGCAGCCTCACAGTTGGCACGCTTGCCTGTGATGATGATGGTCTCAGAGTTGCTGTTCTCTGCTGGAAGGTCAATCTTGGTGTTGCTTTCTTCACGGATCTACAGGAAGTGACAGGAACAGGAAAAGCTGAGCAGAGTCCCGTGGTGGATGCCCCAAGAATGGTGCTGGAGGGCCCAGTTTCTTTTTCCTATATGTAACAGGGTGGTGCAGGGCTAAGGGAACGGGGCATGAGGAACAAGGCCCAAGGGACAAGCCAGTCACCTTCTTAATGTTTGCACCTCCTTTTCCAATGATGTTCTTGTGGAACTGTTTGAAGATCGGAACAGAAATCGAGTAGCTATTTTCCACCTTAAGAACAAAAGGGCAGCATAAGTAACATGGCAGGAAATAAGCTTCCCTTCTATGTGAGTTATGGACAAACAGGGATTAGGAGCCTCCTTTTCTCTTCACGGTCAGAGGTTTGTCACAAGGACAGGTGAGATAACTTGTGCAGAACTACCAAACCTGGCATGTTACAGTCACATGACTAAAGGCCTCTCCTTAATGGAAACTAGCATGCAGCAGGACCTGTAGTGTGCTAGGTACATGCTCTACAGTCAGCAGCAGTCTTGGCTGCCGGGTGCCCTTCACCATGCTCTGGCTGAGGAGGGCTCAGACCCCCTATCAAGGCAGCACCAGCTCCTCTGCTAGGGAATGGTGATGGTTCATGGCAACTGTTAATCTGATGAGCCCTGAGTCATCTAGATCACTAGAGTAAAGTACACTGCTGGTGTGTTGAGTCATGACCTTGGGGCCTACATGCAGTCCTCTGTGCTGGCTCCTTCCTCTGCGCTGGCTCCCACATGCCTCATCACCTCTTGCCTAGGACCCAGCCAACCATGGACTGAAGGCTCTAAGACTGTGAACCAAAATAAACCCTTCTTCCTCTAATTTGGGTATCTGGCATTTTTTCTCAGGAATGGGAATATGGACCAATAGAGGAATCCATCACAACAGCTGTGTGGCAGCTTCACGGAGCTAAGAAGCCCTCACTGTCACCTCCCAGGGAAGGCATCTACGCACTGCAGCCCCCTAAAGTGACCATGGACAATGGTGGTCCACAGCCTTTCCAGCAAGCCCTCTTTTACACTTTCTATATCTTTTCCCATTTCAGATTTTGAGAAAGATGACACATTAATCTTGTGTAATCTCCCTCTCCTTACTGCATAGGACATTTTCTGTACCTAGGAAGTTAAAGACCCTTCAAGGAAATAGATATAGGGCATGAAAAAGGAGATTTTCTCCCACCTGAATTTCATAACACAGAAGGGTTAGCAATTATGACCAGTCTGGATATTTAGCTATTGAGAAAGATGCTGCTGCAACCTTCTTCCCACACCTGAGACAACAGATGATTTCCAAAGCAGGTCTCCAAGAGGCAGAATGAGTTCTGACGTGACCCCCATCCCCACGATCCCAGCACTACCACAGAAAAAAGGTGTATAAAGTCCCCTACCAGGTCTGCCACCATCTTCTGCATATACTTGGTGCATTTTTCCACTTCATTCTTGGGCCCTCTGAGTTGGACAATGTCACTTTTTTGTGCTGGGTCTGGAAAGTTGATGATAACCTACAACAAATCATCAAGAGGCTGAGTTTGATTATTAGGACTGAGCTCCAAAATGCTCAATTATTAAGTGCACATTAGACTATTCTGAGAGTAGTAAAGAATGCCTCTGGGTCTGGAGGTACAGTTCAGTAGTAGTGTTTCCCTAGCATGCAGGCCCTGTGTTTGAGCCTACTGCAAGGTATGTACCAAAATATAAAGATTGCCTTTGGGAAACTTTACCTCTGGGAATTTATCACGAATTTCACGGATCCGTTCACCTTTCTGCCCGATGATTGTGCGATGAAATCTCTGCTCGATGATTAAATCCTTGGTACGCTCGTTTTCCTAAAAATATAAAGTAGATGGATGTCATTTATCATAAACAGACTAGAGAATCTCTCTTACAAACCAGGAGGCATTGGAAGCCAGAAGACCACCACCATACAACCTAGCTGCCACCAGCAGCAGGTAAGGTGGTATCCAGCCAGGTGGCTCCCTAAGTCACCCCTGGGAGCCATAGTCCATTAATGCCCATGATGGATGCCCATGCCCTCCAATAGCAGTCACAATCTGGTTATGCTGTGTTAGCTTACTGAAGGAAGAACTGACCACAGGACCCTTCAGCCAGAGGTGCTATGAGGGCAGTGATGACTGTGGAGTTGGCACTTGTTTCTACAAAACTAGAGGTGAGCCCAGCTTTGCTACTTGGAGGTTCAGCACTCTGCAAAGCAGGGAGTACTCCCTCCTGAACCACTCTCCCTGCAGGGGTGATTAAGAAAGAATGGCTCAGCATGCACAAAACCCACAGGTTTCTCAATCTCCTTATACGGGCTTTTAAAATGTCAGGCAAATACAGAAAGGCACAGGTGGAATCCTGGGAAGGAAAGACTAGCCTAACAAATGTTTTTTAATTTATTTTTATTTGTGTGTGTGTGTGTGTGTGTGTGTGTGTGTGTGTCCAGCTCAGCCCACCACGGGGCGTGGCTGGCTGGCATGTGGGGCTGGGGGATTCAACCGTGGTCCCTGTGCTTTGGCTAGGCTTGTTCTAAGTAGGTGCTTTAGACCACTGAGCCATCTCACCAGCCCCCTAACAAATGTTTTAAAGAGCTCTGGCAGTGCACACTGGAATCAGACAGCAAGATTCAGCGACTATGCAGGCAGAAGACACTCTGGACAAGGAATCCTGGCAGGGAGCTGGGGCAGAGTCCTGGGACCAGGGGCTGAATGCAGGGAGGCCACAGCAAGGCAGGCGGTGGGAGCACACTTTAGATGCAAGTAGATCCTGAGCCCTGGGAAGAGACAGTATCCACGATTCCCTGGGATGAGCTGCTCCATTTACTGTGCCATTTGTTTTTTTTCTGGACTCTCAACGGCACCCAAGTGACCCCATGTGTAGACAAGCAGAGGATCACTGCTGTACACAACTGATACGTAGCAGCAAATGTAAGCAAAACTTAGGTTAGGAAGAAGGCAGGTGCAGGGTGGGCCAGGGCAGGGAAGCACTTCTGTGAGTGGGCAGCAATCACCCCAGTGATCTTCAAGTCTGGCCACACCTCAGAGTCACCTAAGGTCCTTTGGAAGTCCAGGAATATGCCACATCCTGGGTGGGCAGCCACGCATCCTAGATCCCTGGGGGCCCGTATCCTTGCCTGGCACAGCCCAGGGGCTGAAGGAGCCCAGCCATGCTGATAATGGAGAAGGATGAAGGACACATGGCCCTGGAAATCAACTCAGTGAAGGACTCTGGAGCTTCCCTTCTCCAGGACCCCCCCAACAGCGCTGTTCTCAGGCACAGCCTACAGACGGGCCTGCACCTCATGGTGGGTCCTGCATGCTGCTGGGCTCACCATGCGAGACGCGAGCTCCAGAAGCTCCCGCTTGGCCTGCTGCACACCTTGGGGGTCCCCCTCGATGCGGATCAGGTTGCTCTTCTCACTGTCAGGGGGGATGCGCACAGACACCTTGTACTGGTCTTTGATTCTGTTTACTTGGGACAAAAGGAAACATACCTTAGACACAGAAGCTACAATGGCCCACCAATGAGTTACAACCAGGAGGGACAGGAGCAAGTCCCCAAAGTCCTAATCAGTTATTCCCATGAACCCAAAGTCTAGCCTCCAGAGTTTGTGTCATCTAAAATGAGAGTTGGTCATGGCATTTACCACCTGCAAGGTTTACAAAGCTGGTCCCCTGTCTTTGGTATATGACTATGCTTCAGAATATTTAACACAACCCAGGTGTGATTAGTGTGCAAGCAAGTCTGGGAAGGATGATTCTTCAAGTAAAAAGATTATATACATTAAGACAGTGGCAGTACCCCACTGTTCATCTAAAAGCTCGTGAAGACCACACTACTATCCAGTATAAAAAAAAACAAAAAACATCCAGTCCAGAGATATCACTGTCAGTCCAGATCCAATCTGAGCCTGTTGCCGTCTTTACCAAAAAAAAAAAAAGTGTGTGTGTGTGTGTGTGTGTATATTTTTTTTGGGGGGAAGGGGTGGTATCAGATATCAAACCCGCGACCTCATACCTGCCAGGCAGGTGCTTATGCCATTGAGCTATCTCCCTGCTGTCTCTGCAAAATAAATGGGCTGCAACAGTCCTGCGGCCACCTTCCTTGGACAGAACCAGGAGCCTCTAAAGCTCTGGAGAAGCCTTAGCACCAGGAGCTGAGGCAGGCCATCTGGCTACTGTGTGCATGTCCCAAACTGCACACAGGGGTGGTGATGAGGCAGGTAATGTGTGCTGGGGGCTGGCACCAAGAGGAAGCTGCTCCAAGTGGATGACACTGGACAAGAAGAGCAGCACATAGCAAAGGGCATCAGATTTTACATTATGAGAGAAAATGCAAGTTAGGAACTGAATCAGGAGAAAGCAGAACAGATATAAATTAATGCCTCTGCTACACTAAAAGGCTCTGCAATTCAAAGGAAACAGAAAGCAGAAATTACTCTACTGTACTTTTTCATACTTTTAAAGTAAACACCACAGGTAGCTAAGATTAAAAAAAAAAAAAAAAAAAACCAAAAAAAAAAAAAAAACAACAACAACTGAGGCCGGGGAGATGGCTCAGTGGAATAAGTGCTTCCCTGGTAAGTGCAAGGGCCTGAGTTCAATCCCCAGTTCTGGGAAAAAAAAAAAAAAACAACAACTAAAGTCAGTTCATGGTGTATACAGTTCCAGCAGCACCTGGGAGTCCTATCCATCACGAAAATGTCCCAGAGCACAAGGCTGACAATAAGCAGAGTATACTGTTTGTAGACCACAGTGAAGGAGACGAACTTTTATTTATTATTAAATATTTATTTACTTGTAAAAATAAATGGCATGGGTATCACTTGACAGGAAACCCAGAGAGGGTCCTCTGTTGATGGAATGATATAGGAACAGGGATGTGTCAGTCCTCGTACCCCCACCTCAAGGTAAATGGGGGGAGGTTGCAGTCTCCAGAACACATAAGTACTGCGAAGTGGGTCCAAAGTCATGTGGTTAAACCAGGTGAAGGAGAGATGTAGCCAAGTGTTCAAAGTATCCTAGGCTTTCCTTCTCCACCCCAGAGAGTTGTAGACAATTCAGACCCTGAGACTAGGCTGACACATGGCTGGTCACTCAACAGAATCCCTTACAGGACTGAGACTTGGGCCAAAGTGCTACAAACACTGGAGAAACAGGGTGGCCCCCAGGTCATCCAGGGAGGGGTGATCTGGTTGATTTTCGAAATTAACCATTTACCCATAGGCCAAACAACAAGCTAGACTGGTCATAGCTTTTGAGAAAGGAAAGCAGCCTCTTCCAGCAAGTGGAGGAGGCTATATATCAGAAATGCCTGTGACAGCAGTGCTGGCTTGGCTGTCTACACTGAGGTCTCCCACTTAGAGATGACAAGGTCACCGCAGGGCTGGGACCTGCACCACCCAGTTTACTCACTGTTGGCGCCACTCTTCCCAATGAGGTGTCTGTGGAACCTGTGGTCGATGTTGATCTCCACATAGTCCATCCGGTTAATCTGCAGGAGGTACCCAAGGCAGATCAACAAGAGACATAGGCTTCAGGCCCCAGAACACACTAGGATCCAGATAAGGAGCCAGATTTCCATCCCAGAAAATGCCAACGCTAGCCTTTTCTCAACACTCAGAGACAGGGATTATTGCCCATGTTCCTCTGGCACTCCTGGAAGACCCTTCTTTCAGAGTAAGGTTTTCTCTCGCCTAGAGCAAGTTGAATAAATCTCTGGCCAGCTCCTGGCTGTTTCAGGTTCTGGCAACCACCCAGCTAGACTGCCTTTGGTCTCCATGCCCCCATGGACAATCTCCCTGCTGCTCAAAGCCTCTCATGCCAGCACCAAATAGACTGCTGAAGGGGTGCTCACCAGGTCTTTGACCATGCTTTCAATCTGTTCTTGGGCCACATTTACATCCTCTGTGGGACCTTCCAGGGTGATCTTGTCCTCACCTTCTGTGAATTCGATGTGAACCTGCCAAAAAAAGGAAAGGAGAGGCACGGCTGAAGATTAGCAGAGCAGCAGCAGTGCCCTCTGCGCCTGTATGCAAGCGCTTTCCCAGGAGCTCACAAGCACTGTCCCGAGAGCAGTAGGTAGCTCAAACTGCTTCCTGAGTACGTGGTAGGGGAAGAGGTTACATCCACTACGCCCAAGAACAGCTGAGAGGCAGGGATGGTTGTAAGAAGTGAGACAGACGCCAGGGATGAGATTTTAAAACAAGTGCAGCTACCTGGAGTGTTAAGAGTCACACAGGGCCGGGCTGCTGTCCTGCCTGGTTCACAACAGGCAAGGCAGGGTGGCCAGGGAGGGGGGCATTCACTGGTGTTCAATAACTAAACTGTGAAGCCTGAGCAAGTGAAACGACAGTAAAGCAGACACTTGCTCACCCACACGAGAACAGGAATCTGCCATGGCTTTCCCACCCAAGATGCCTGGGCTCTGCTATTTCACTTTTGTATACTTAACACAGTTTGTACACAAATTTTCCTTGTCTCACACTCTAATGCCTAAGTGATGTGTTTCTTAAGACAGTAATTAATGTACGTGTTAACACTGAAACACACTGCACCCTCCTGCAACCACCCACTGGAACAGGCTGTATTTAACAGTATAAACAGCAACAGCAAAACAACGTTGGGCAGATGCAACAGAATCAAGCGCCTCCTCACCTTTGGCATCTGCTGAGTGATTCTGGCCAGGTTCTGCCCTTTCTTACCAATAATGAAACGGTGGAGCCAGGAAGGGGCAGAGACTGAGGAAACTGTGAAACTGTTAGCCTAGGAAGACAGAAAAGATGCTCATGTGTCTATAGACCTGCTCAGGGTAATGTTTAAAAAAGGAAGACTGCTCACCCCACCCAGGCAACACTTGGCAGTCTAGGTCCCCAGGACACAGCAGGTAAGGAACGCACGAGAACGTCACTCTTGTGTTCCTACCTTGGCATAGACTTCTGTCAATGCCTGCCCCAACTTCTCAGGCTCGCCTCGAAGGATCACAGTTTCAGAGGTGCTGTCTGAGGGTGGGATCTCCACAGAGACACCGGTTCTTTCGAGGATCTCCTGTAGGGAGTTGCCCTTCGGGCCAATGACATACTTGTGCTGCGATTTCTTCACCTCCACTGCGATGGTCGTGGTCTTCTTTTTCTAATTAAGAACACCGTAAGGGCAGTCAGCAGGAAAGGCAAAGGAGGTGAGCACTGGGACAGGACCCTGCTGCAGCCGAGGGGCCTGACTATACACCCCAGTCTCCAAGCGGGGCTGTGCCTGCCCCGTCCCAGAAACTGTACTTTTAAAAGACTGGCCTTCCCCAAGTGCGGTCACACTGAATGGTAATTTTCATCTGGAAGACATGAAAACACCAGGTCCTTTCTCCAAGTTAAGGAATGAGTTTTGAAACTGAGAGGTGGCTATCTTGAGCAAACAGCCTGAACCAAAGATGGAAACAACTCTACACGGCAGGTGCCAAACTGATACAATCAAGCCCCAGACAGGACACACACGGAAAGGACAGTGAAAGTGCTAGCCTAGAACCATGGCCATCCTGCACTAGGCTATGTGTCCAAGGTAAGAGGAAAAGTGACAGCACAGGACTTGAACCCATTCACCTCAAGCACAAATCCTATCATTTCTTTCTACTCACGGATTCTACCTCCTACACCTCGCACCTTTTCCTCATAAATCTTCTTGATTCGAGCCACTGCCTGAGCCAATTGCTCCTTCTCTCCAGTGAAGACGATCTCCGTCCGGCTGACACTGGGTGGAGGGATATTGATGCGTGTCCCCGTCTCCTGCATGATCTCACCCACAAGCCTATTGTATGGCCCTGCGATGAAGGGATGGAAGGCCTTCTCCACTTCTAATCTCTCCACAGCACGCTTGTCCTGCAGAGGACAGAATGGAATGGTAAGAACAGTTGAGGACAGACAAGGCTTTCTAGGCCCTGAGGCAATGCGTGGCAGGAAGGCTATACTACCAGGCCCTCAGAGCGAGGCTGGTGCTAGGCACAGACCTGGACACTCAAGAGGCCTTACCTGCTCAGCAGAGATGAGGAGTACTTCATGGCGAGCTTTCTCTATGCCTTCTTTGGTGCCAGTGATCTTGATCTGATTGCTGGGGTCTTCTGGGCGTGGGATCTGGATTTTGGTTGCAGTTTTTAGCTCTAAGTCTTGCAGTTTCTCCCCATTTTTGCCAATAACAAAGCGATGGTGCTCCTTAGGAATGGGAACGGTTGCTGAGGCCTACAGCAGAGAGAATCAAAAACTAGTATATGTGAAAAAGCATACTTCTCCCATGATATTCTCTCTTATTGGAATGCCACCAAACCTATCCTGTCTGTTGGAAGGGTGTGTGCAGAAAGGGCATGTCATGACTATGGGGACTGTCTGACCCCACTAGTCCAGTTCAAGGGTACCTGCACCATGCTCACCCCCAATGGAGCCTATGCCTGGAGAGGAAGCTTGCCACAGTGAGAGACAAGTGACTGCACATGCAGAAACTTGCAGATACTGTTTTACCACTTTTGCTGCTTCTTTGTTTTTACTACTTTTTTTACTTGTAACACAAACAAAACAGACTCACAGCCCAAACTTACACAAACAATAGCTAGCTAGAAGTTATAATCCTTGGACACACACACACACACACACTCTCTCTCTCTCTCTCCCCTCTCTCTCACATACACACAGATACACACAGACACAGACACAGACACACACACACACACACACACGAGCTAGGCATGATGGTATACTCCTGTGATGGTACCACTCTGGGAGGCTGAGGCAGGAGGACTGCAATTTGGAGCCCAGCTTGGGAGATTCAGAAAGACCCTTTGTCAAAATGAGTAATAAAAGACCAGGGACTTAGCTGTCAGTGTAGAGGTGCTTGGGTTTAACCCCTAGTATTCTATACACATAGGCATCCATATAAAGGCATACTAGATTTCTAGTAAGACAAAAAATAGTGAGGCATAAACAATAAAAAGCACAACACATTAATTATAAGATAGTATTCTTCAGGGCTGGCCAAACAGCTCAGAAGATTAAAGTGCCTGCAAGCAGTGCAAGGGTCAGAGGTTTGATCCCTAGGCCTGCCATGCTGGCCCTGCCCCCAGGGCGCTTTGAGACAGCAACTGAGACTGGGCATGGTGGCGCATGCCTATAATCCCAGCTTTTTTTTTTTTTTTTTTTTTTGGTACTGGGGATTGAACTCAGTACCCTGTGTTTGCCAGGCAAGCACTTATTCTATTGAGCTGCCTCCCCGGCCCTGCTTTTCCGAGGCGGTAAACAGGCGGATCACTATGAGTCTGATATAGTAGTGAGACCCTGAACACACTGTAGACCCTTCCCTAAAATACAGGAAAAAAAAAAAAAAAAAAAGTCTTAAAAGATATAAAACAATGTTGAAATCATAAAGACGTCAATTGTTCCAAGATTAATTTTTAAAAAATTATTACAGTGTTGAGCTCAAAGCTAAATATAAAGCTTGCATGGCAAAGCAAGCATAGGACAGACCAAAAAAACCTTAAGAAAGGAGATCGAAGGTAGAGGTGGCAATAATGGTATCAAACATTAACACTTACAACCATTACCAATAAAATGGGAGAACAGCACACAGAGAGACAGACCAATGGGTCAGGGCTGGAAACCTTGGCAGATCTGGGTTACTGGGAGCATTTTTATTATGTACTTAGAAAAAGAAAAGAAACCCACCAACTGACAGATAAAAAGTATTTATAGTTTTTAATTACTGATGTCTGTTAGAAACACTAATAGAGCTCTTGAAAACTTAGGAAGATGCACAACATGATAGAAATATGTAGACTAGAACAGATATTTCACGGAAAATAATTGCAAATACAGATTAAAAAGTATATCCAGCTATGTTTCAGACTGGCAAAAACTCAACTCTTATATAAGCACTGCTGACTGGTGCACAAGACACGTTTTTTTCTTTCTGTGGTATTGGGGATGGACCCCAAGGGCTCACGCATGCTACCCAAGAGCTCTACCATGGAGCTACATCTCTATCCCTTTGTATTACTTATGAAATTTATTTTTATTTATTGGACAGTGTCTCGCTACGCAGCTCTGACTTGTAGTGATGCTCGTCTCAGCCTCCCCAGCGCTGGCATTACAGGCATGTATCACCACACCACCTGGTTTCAGAGGCCGACATCGCATGCAGTACCGTGGATCAAACCAGGGTCTTTGTGCTTACTAGGCAAGGGCTTAGACTGCTGAGCTAACTCCCCAACACTGTATCTTTTATTTTGAGAGTTTTTACAAATTCAAGTCCAGGCTGGACTTGAACATGTGCTCCTCCTGCTCTAGGTTCCTGAGTAGGTGAGGTTAGTCATGTGTCACAACGCTTGTCATTGGAGCTCAAATCTAGACATTCCCCCAAAGCCTCCTACATTCATATATGAGGTTTTTGGGAGTGAGTAGGATCATGTGTGCAATACTGGACTAATCTGATTTTTTTTTTCAAAGTTTTATTGATAAACAGATAGCAATGAGACAGTTTCAAATCAAATCGGAAGTACAGTTTCAACAAATAATACACTGCA